CAGACATCCAAAGAATGCTGAGTAGGTAGATGACTTGGAGGCTCAGGGCTCAAAATTGTCAAGAAAGCAGAACCAAAACAATAGTCTTTTGCTACTCTGGGGTGATCTATCTCCATGAATATAGTCTCTTGGAGGCATACAGTTCCTGCATAGGAAATCTCCTTTCAATATACAGGGACCCTAAAAAAGTCACTGCTACCCACTCAGTGCTTTTGTGAAAATTAGAAAAAGACACCCCTTCCTCCACATCCCACCTCAGGACTGGCCTTGTGAGCAAAGCAAGGGTTGAATTTCAGCCTCCCTCGGCCCCTTGCCATTTTATTCACCTTTAAATTCTCCACATAGTCCAAGTTTCTTGTCGTTGAATAGCACTTGGATTTCTCTGTGACACTGGAACAATGTTTATTCTTTCATTCATTCATTACATGTTTCTGGCATGAATATGGGTAAGAAACTTAGACTATGTGGAGAATTGAAAGGTGAATAAAATGGTACGTTTCTTCAGAAAAGGGTCATCATTCTTAGTGAACAAATATGTGTGAAGATATAAAACATGCTAAGATATAATGTCCCCGATGCTGGTGAATACTCTCATTTCACTGTCATATAGGAAAGTCATGGGTGATTGAGTTTAAAAGGGGCCTCATATGACTAATCAATAGAAGACCATGTCAGAACAGTTATAGGAAAGAGAAATAGTTTGCCAACACCGAACCTTGAGATTGTGGACTTGGTGATAGATTAGAGTGTGCCAAGAGTAGAGGGAGGCTAGAGGCAGAGAGGTGAGGCAGGAAGCTGACAGATTATGTTACTGCTCAAACATTCACCACCACGATGGGAATATCATACATCTCTAATCCAATAACCTCAGGCCCGGCTAAGTGACTTACTTTAGACAGTAGAATCAGAATAGACAGAATATGTATTATTTCCAAGCAAAACTTTAAGAGCCATTGTATGATTCCATTGTGTACTCATTTCTCTTTGCCACAATATCGCTGATTGGGGCAATTTCTTCAGTCTGGGTCCCAGGGTGATTATACTATAGAGAACAGAGATACAGCCAACTCATAACAGGCAAATTATAGGATCAAGAAATACTCCCTTGTTTGTACAAGCTACTCATATTTGGGGGTTGTTTGTTAGTACACCATAATATCCCAAGTTCACTGACATGAGAAACCAATGTCCCATGAAGGTGAAAGCAATAAGGTCTTAAACTAGACAGATGAAGTGATATTGAATGGAAAAGCACAGAGACAATAAACAATCACAATAAAACAAGAAATCACCATCTAATATTCATGCAGTATTTATGTGTCCAGCATTATGTTAATCACATCTCATTTAATCCTCATAGAGCCAGAACTCAAACACTTATCTGTTTAACATCACAGTATGGGGTCTTACTGATTTTTCCCAGCAACCAGTAAAGTGTGGTGATTTTATGTACATGTGCAATAGGATTAACTCAGTAAGACTAGGTTGCTCAAAGCCTGCACATTCCCCAAGAAAGATCTCTCTTTAGAATTGGACTTTGGCCAGCTCCTGAGAGTAAGCCTTGAGACCTAGGAACATTCTGCCTGATAAGGGTGTTGTTATATGCCTGAGGCCTTGTACCTTGTGGTACCAGTTTGATCAGATAGTTGAATGCTAACAATGTGATTCATGGTGAATGCCTATTTTTTCCTCTGGGGAGCTGGAATCTGAGTAGCTGAGGTAAGTCATGCAGATGCTACATGCCTATGTGACTGACCTCTATTAAAAATTCTAGACACCAAAGCTCAGATGAGCTTCCCTGGTTGACAACACTTTGCACACATTGTCACACATCATTGCTTAGAGAATTAAGCACATCTATCTGTACAACTATACTGGAATAAAATTTTTAGAAGCTGTTACCCAGTGTCTCCTGGATTTTGCCGTGGGTATCTTTGGCTTTGCAGATTTTAATCTGTATTTCCTGTATTCCTCCACTATAATAAACTGTAACTGTGAATATAATAGCTTCTCTGAGTCCTGTGAGTCCTTTTAGCAAGCCATCAAGCCTGAGGGTGGTCTTGGGGATGCCTGATGCAGTATAGCACACAAGACAGTTGAGGGTCAAAGACTGTCCCAACTTTTCAAGCCCAGGTGGCTCAAAAACGGTGGTTCAGCGAACTGTGATGTGAAAATCCAGAGGAAATGGTGAGCTGGAAGGGGGTTATAGAAAGAAGCTGAAGAGGAAAGAGGAGGAAGAAAGGTCAGTTCAGTGGCTGGCTTATTAAATTTGCCTTCCATATCAAGGTAGGAATGTCCAATGGGCAATAGAAAATGTACAACTGGACTTTATAATGGAAACTCAGAATAAGAAAATAGTTAGTGGTTAAAACCATGAATAAGAGCACTGAGGAAAAGATTAGAGAAAAGGAAGGGCAAGGAGTTAAACACAAATTATAGAGAATGAAAGCTGGTTGCCTAGGTAGGAAAAAAATCAATGAGAAAGAAGACAAATTTTACCTATTTCCAATTCATCAAAAGGAATTATCTGTTTAATTTTATATAAATTTATGTTAAGCCAGTTATACTATAGACTTTACACAGAAAATATTTGCTAAACGGTTTTTGTTGATATATAAATAGCACTAAAAAAACAGCAGTATTAATTTTCTCATAAAACCCTCATTTTAAGAGCATTTAAAACTTTGTTCCATAAGCAAAATATTCAGAGATGATTGTGGTAACCACTGACGATTCCAAATAAACTGGGGCAGAGAGAAGTGCCAGGCCTTCATGATATTACTTCATGTATCTGTGTGGCTGCCACCAGGACTATTTTTATATGTTTGTTTATGTTTTTAACCATCCAAAAATTGAGATAGAAAAAAATTATAAATAGTCAAGGTCCTATAAGGCTTCATTTCACTCTAACACAGTATTTCTACTTTTCTGCATTTTCTTTAAATGGCAAACAAAGCTAGATGCCAAGAGCATCAGGCTTAACTCAAGCCATTCACTTTGCTTCTGCTTCCTCCAGGTGGGGTTTGTTTTATATTCCAACATGTTTTTAGATTTTTGTTTTTCCATGGAAGAGCAGATTGGGGATAATTTCAGATTGTCTCTTTAAATAATGCTGCTACAAAGTCAGAGTTTCTGGCTGACTCGCCCATTTCGCTTGAAAGCAGGCCCCTGTGGTAATAATCCCACCTACTTCTTACTAAGGCATCAGAAAACACTAGATCTGCCTTAAATTTTCCTTTTCATTTTCTTAGCCTTACCCCTTTTTGCTAGAGAATACACTCAGGGCTCCTTTTAGAAGAGAATTATGAATTGGTTCTAGCGCCCCATATTAGACAGTGAGTACTAAGGAAATCTAAGCCTGGTGTACAGCCAGTCGTGCCCCACTACGCCCCCTCCGATGGAAAAGTCCAGTCTATCACCTCAGGGTCAAGACACTGAGAAAGTCATCAAAGTGCAACTTTCAAACCAGTGTCTCAAAAGCTCCCCCATGTGTGCATGTGAAAAATAACTCATCAGAAGAAAAGTTCACTGGAGTAAGTGTAGAATAAGAACAGGGACCAATTTTCAGGTCTCCAAAAATGTACTAGGATACAAGAAAACACCACATTACATAACTATTATATTTATGTCATGTTTGAAATCTATTATAAAAGAACAATTAATCTTAGTGTGCTATTTTTTATACAGATTATAGCATCAGGAAATGAAATGCATGCATTAAAAATTTATTTTTCTATAAGAGGTAGGAAAAAACAGGGCAAAAAAATGAAAAATAACTAAATTTGTTCCAACCATAAGTACACTCAAAAAGGAAAAGATAAGCTCTCTGAATATTAAAAAAAAAAGCAACTGATTAATGTATTTGAGCCCAAGAACGAAATTATATGAAAATAAACCAAAACATTTGTTGTACTTTCCAGAAAGCATTTGCTTAATGGAAATACTTTCCAATTTCATTTTTTTGCCCATATATCTTTCCCTTAGGAAAAAAACATACTATAGCTAAGACTGCTATGTAAATTGGCTACTCCTGATCAAAAGGTAGGCTTCCAGAATATTAAAACCAAGGCTTGCCTCAAATATTTTCTATTCCAACCCTCATCTTCTATATATGAAGAACATGAACTCAGAAAAATGAATGGATTTGTCTAAGTCCACAATTGGCAGAAAACTTGAGAGCAGACCCCTAATCTTCTGTTTTCTAGTCCAATCATCATTCCTTTATACCATGCTTTTGCCCAATTTTTAATAAAAGTAATAATAAAAATTGAAAAATAAATAGTAGAAAAATATTAACAAATATTTGTAATGCTAAAATGTACTAAGCACTTACTCTATGCCATGCATGTTTTTAATACATTATATAAATGAACTGTTTTGATATTAAGAATTACCCTCTGAGGCTGTATTATCATCTCCATTTTACAGAGGAAGAAACTGAGGCATGGAGAAATAAAGTACCCACCCCACAGATCTTAAAGTGGTAGAGCCACTATAATAGCCAAGCAATTTAACTCTAAAGACCAGATTCTTAACCACAAATAACTAATAGAATACATAAACTAGGATTGTTTTTCAAAATTTGAAAGGGCTAGAGGATTAAACCTCATTCTTTGGCAACATAAAAGTGAAACCTATGATTATTAAAACAGAAATAGGGATCAACTTAAAACTAAAAATAGCAATCTGCTTAAAAGAAAAATCCTTACCTAATTAGTAGAACAAACTTAAAGCTTTGTAAGTATCCAATTTCATACAAATCATCTAAATAGAGGGCTCCATTCTTTAGAATGCTAACTGAAATCATGTTTGTCTATAATTAGAAATTATTCCTATCTATTCATTAAAGCAATCTCTCTTCTAGGCAATTCTTGGTTAGCTTGTTTTTCAAGTAATAAAACAAATTTCTATTGCTTCTCTAATTGATCCAAATTAATATGAACTACCTAAAGACACTAGTAACCTCCCAATTTCCAAATCCAGTGGAAAAATTATCTTACCTTGCCAAACCTTTCTGCAGCCTTTGACCCTGTTGCTTCCTCCCTGCTCCTGACACTTTTCCCTCTCTTGGCTTCTGTGACCTCACTCCCTGGACCCTTGCCTGGTCTTTCAAACCACTCCTTCTCTTTAGCAGGTTCCTCCTCATAAATTTGATTGTTAAAGGTTTGTATTCCCAAACTTATGTTCTGGCTGGGTTCTCCCCACTCCCCATCCCCACATTCTGCTTGAGTAACCACAGCCACACCCACAGCCTCCACTACTTCCAAATTCCAGTCTCCCAACTAGTTCTCTCCTCTAAGCCCCACATATATCCATGGAAATACTTCGAATTCAGCATAATCAAATCTAAGTCCCTTATAGTTCACCAGAAATCCTATTTTCCATGCTGTATTCCTTATTTTGTTTAAGAGATTCCTCCAGTCAACAAACTCAAACCTTGAATCACCTAAGAGTCCTTCCTTCCCTCACAGAATACACCCAACTAGATCATAATTGCTAGGAATTATACTTGTTAAATTGCTCTTGAGTCTTCCCCTCTCACTTCCATTCTCATAAGGACCATCTGGAGGTCACCTTCATCACCATGTTTCTCCTCATGCCAAAAACTGTCCTAGATCAGGTTCTGCCAGAAGTAGACCCCTGGTAGACCCTGAGCAACTTCCATACAAAAAGAAAAGTCTGAAATGTGAGTGCAAATAGTTTTTTGAGAAGTGATCCCAGGAAGCAAATGTGTGTGGTGGGGAGGGGTATGGAAGAATGGCAGGTATGGGAAGGAAGCCAATACTGGTAATGATCAGATAATTGCTCTGAGGATGAGGGCTTCATCCCACTGGGAACCTCACAGAGACTGTATAGAACATACCTCAGATTTGTCCCACACCAGGGTAGAAGGATCTGAGACATTTATCCATTGCTGTTTAATGGCTGCTCCCTAGAGCATAAACTCCTGGCACTTTGGCAGTCTCTCATCATAATTTTGCAAACTTATAGTTGCTGAGACTTAATAGCTGTTGTCTTGTACGGGGTCGGTGACTACCGAGAGAATATGAGAAGGATACTGGCAGGACCTGCCACAAAATCCCTCCAAGGCTCCCATAGGCTTCAGATAAAATCCAAATACCTCTATATAGCCTGTAAAATATTCCATGATCTTCTCCCTGCTTTCCTCTCCAGGTTATTTCCGAGTCTTTCTGGTCTAACATTTGTGTGCCCTAGTCCTATCAACCTACTCAGTTTCCAAAATGCTAATGTTCTTGCTACTTTTCTGTTTTGTACTCACTATTCCTTTTTCTCAGAATATCCACCTCTACCTCCCAACTCTATTTCCCTCTAGCTAGAATATCTCAACTTTTTGACAAGATACACCTCTTGGATCTCTTCCTCTTTCAAGCCTTCCCTCAACTCCTTACACCCCAGTTGAGTACTTCTATCTGTGCCATCTCTCTTATCAAAACGCACAGTCGTTGTTTGTCCACATGGCTAGACCAGACTGCCAGTGCGAGCTCCTGACAAGCAATCACTGTGCTTGATTCATCTGTTTCCCCAGCACCAAGCCCAAGCAAGGAAGAGAAACAACAGGAAAAACACCACCAACAATTCCTGAAAGGTCTATATATCATCCAAAATAAATAATAAGTATGCAATTTAAATGGTAAACAAAACCTCCAAAAGGAATTGTCTGGAAAAAATATATAGTAATTCTCCCTTTAGTACATGCATTCTTAAAAAATTGCTTATTAGGGATTTTTCTCCACACCTATGGGCTGTAAGTCAATGTAGTTCACTCTGCTTCAGCTTCTTTGGCTATGCGCCTCTTTATCAGCACTGATTTCCTTAAAGGGGATCTGACGCTTAAGAGACCCTAGCAGGGAGCACCTGAGAATAAATCCTCAACATATGCACTTATGGATATTTTGTGACCACACTTCAACTTCTCAAACTGAAGGTCTCTTTTATGTGCCTGACAGTGAGCTGCTTTAACATTAAACCCAATTCGATTTGCATTTGATAAGAGAGATGGCACAGATAGAAGTACTCAACTGGGGTGTAAGGAGTTGAGGGAAGGCTTGAAAGAGGAAGAAGAAACAGGTGATAAAATTACCCTCCTAAGACTTGCTTTACAGGCTCCTCAAGGTCACCTGCTTCTGTCCTCCCACAGGGGATTTCTGCCAGCTTCAGTGCTGGTGGGCAGAAAGCCCACGTGGCATGGGCTGGGGGAGTCCTGCTCATCAACTTTGACTGGATCCATCATAAGCAATGTATTTATATGTGAACGTACCCAAACCTGACGAATGATTAAATTCAGACTCTGGGGATTTTTTGGAGACAGGAGAGGATGAAAAGTAGAAAGGAGTAATAAACTAAAGGCATTTAGTTCAGCCAAAATTGACTCAACTTACATTGATATGAAAACTAAACATAGTATAGCTATCTTTGACCTGGGATATTATGACAATGATATTGTGACAGTTGCTGGGCAGCTGTTGTTTGAGATTCTGCAATTCATTGATCACTGTCACCATGTCTATTGGAAATGAAATTACCTTAGGTCCGTGTGGACGTGATTTCTGCTTACTCTCCTGGCCCTCCTTATCCTGACATTTCCCAATATACAGGAAAAACAACCACAGTGGGTTTTCCTTGTTGAAAGTTTTAACACTGGGTGTTGCCTCCCATCCTCTATGTTTTGGGTTTTGCCCTGGCCAACACTGGGATTCTTTCATCTGAGGTGATAGGAATCTACAAATACAGTAACAAGGCAATCTGTTATAGCAGAAAGCAAAGAAGGAAACTTGGAACGTGCTACTCATAAGTCAGGTCTGCATTTATGTTTTATTTCATATTTTCAGACCTACTGCAGGCAGCCAAGGAGTTGCTATTCAAAATGTTTTGCTGACCTCATAAGAAGCAAAGTAAATAGACCTTCTATCCCAATGACGCCAATCCTGAAGCCAGTGTCTATGTTCTTTTATATTTTGTGAGATTTCTGTGTATATTACTTCCAATTCCTTGTGCTCATGGGCAGAGTTCTGTTTTGGTGTAAACTGATACCAATCTTTGCAGGCTACTGTTTCTCATAGTTTCTTTATACCAGCTATAAAACTAAGAATAACAGAAGATAAAAAGGTAACATGGTTGGTGTGGGAACAGTACTGAACTCCCCTTTCCATTCCTATACTCTTTGGTACTCTTTCTCTGGGGTCCAGATTCCAGGGTTGTGTTATGGGCAAGACCTTGCCCTTAAAGGTTTGGGCTAAATAATCAAGCAATCCCCAATGCATAGCAACAGCTTACAATAAAGTCAACAAATATTCTTTGAGTACCTCTTAAGGGCAAGTTATAACTTTTCTAAGAACGTTCACTTCCTTTTACTTTACTTTTCTTTTCTTTTTTTTTTAATTTCGCCATTTCTTTAAGGAAAGGAAGGACAGGATTTTAATTAACATTTTACCATCCAGGAAATTGTGATACAAAGAGGTTTTACACTTTATCTGTAATCAAAAAGCAAGTCTATGAGAGGACTAGAACAAAACACAAGTCTAATAACAGAAAGTCCAGTGTCCTTTCTCTCATCCTTCCTGAGCTTATACCAAATTCCACTTTATAACAAATAGTGGTGGAGAGAGAGTCCGGTCACAGAGGTTCTCAACTTGGGTCTCTGTCCATGGATGAATGTAGGAAGTCCTCAGGCTCCTGAAACATATTCAAAAGATTGGTATACACATGACTTTTTGGGGGGAGAGTCAATAGCTCCAAAATGGTTAAGGATGATTTAAATTTTAGGATTTATATTACATATTCTTGAAATAACAAGGCATCCTCAAGTGTGCATGGGACCTGATATTTCTCTTTCCTAGTCACCTCAAATGTGCCTTATTACAATTATCCATGTAGAGCAAGCCACCTACAAACTTAGTAGCTTAAAATAACAACAATGATCTAATGTTCTCACAGATCTAAAACTCAGGCAGGGCTCAGCAGACATAGCTCATCTCTGCTCCATGTCGGGTTAGCTGGTATGGCCCAACAAGCTAAAGAATCTGTTTGCAAGGTGGCTCTTGTGCCCGGCTGGCTCTTGTCCCGTTCCATAGGAGCCTTTCTGTGGGGTAGGTATAGCTTCTTCACAGCACAGTGGCTGGGTTCCAAGAGCAAGCATCTCAAGAAACAGAAAGTGGAAGCCACCAATTTCTCAAGGCCTGTACCCAGAAACTGATGCGGAATCACTTCTACACATTCTATTGGTCACACAGTCACAAGGGGATTCAAGGAAAGGAGACACAGAGCCCACTTCCTGATGGGAAGAGTGTCAAAGGATTTTGAGGCCATGTTTTAAAACTGCCACATACCCCTGGAAGCATCTTTTTTCTTCCTGTGCTTAATCCATTACTATTCTCTCTCTCTCTCTCTTTTTAGAGCTTTTCTATGTTAAAAACCAAGCTCTGACATTTCTCCTATTTCCCATTTCCCAGGCCAAGTCTGTAGCTGATCCAACCAATTGGCTGGCCCCTCTCTGGTTACACCTGGCTCCTTCTTAGCTGTAGGTGTCCAACCCTTGCAAAATGTCTTCATCCCTCACTGCTAGAGTCACATGAGGCACTGTGTCACCTGCTTGCTTAAAGAAATGCTAGTCAACAGCTTTAGGGGGATAGCGGTTGTGAGCTCTGTCTAAAGGAGGAAAGATAAAAGAATATGCACAGTGTGAAGCAAGAAATAGACACTGACCTTTTCCAATATCACTTCGTGAACTGCCAGGTAGGTTTAGAGCATTCCCAATTCTGCCTGCTCCCAGTCACCAACCAAACTCCTTACCCTTTGAAAAGTGAAAGTGATTCAAAATTTCAAGGAAATGCCAACCAGTACTGACATTATTTGCATTACTTTCCCTTATTCTCCTTATTAATTAAAATGACTGATCCATAAAATTGGTTATCAGCTCTGATACATTCTCTGATACTTTCTGCCTCCTCCCACAGCAGGCTTTTGGAAATGATCTGCTTTTTCTCTGCAGCAGAAGTGATTAAAAAGGACCAATAGCTGAGGAGAAAAGCTTCAAGGCCAGGCCTGAGGGGACTGTACGCTATCATTCAGAAGATCAACCTGGCATCCTGGAAGTTTTACCTACATTCTCACCTATCTGCTATCTCCCATCCAACAGAACACCAGGAACCCTCTCAGAGCTTACCGTTCCCTTTGCTTGGGACATCTCTCAAAAAGCCACATGGCTGTTTTCTATTTCCTGACATAAGTCCTCACATCTTTGTCTATATAGCACCTTCCCAGTGAACCTGCCCTAAAAGCCCCATCTAAAATTTACAGACAACTACACACACACACACACACACACACACACACACACATATACACACACAACTTCCTATCACTGTTATCTCCTTACAACTTCCTCACCACTTATACTATCTCATTTATTACATAGTTTACTTATCTATTGTCTGTCTCCTTTTCTACAATGAGAACTTCATGAAGGCAGCATTTCTTTATGTCTTGTTTACTGTTGGGCCTAGAACAGTACCTTGTACCAAGTAGATGTGCAATAAATGTTTATTAATAAACAGCTGAATAAACTATTAATCCAACCTGCAACTGTCTCCACATAGTGATAATGAGGGGTTTCCAGTTGCACTGTCTTCCCTAAAGGTAGACAGCTATAAATCTGGCTCTAACAGGCACCCCCTCTACATTAGTTTCCTACGGCTACTTTAACAAATTACCACACACTAGTGGCATAAAATAACAGAAGTTTATTGTACAGTTCTATAGGTCAGAAGTCAAACATCAGTCTCAATGGGCTGCAACCAAGATGTTCATGGGGCTATGTTTCTTTCCAAAGGTTCTAGGGGAGAATCCTTTTCCTTGCCTTTTCTAGCTCCTAGAGGCCATCCACAGTCCTTGGCTTGTGGGTCTTTCTCCTATTTTTAAAGATAGCATTATCACATCCCTCGACAATTTACTCTTCCTTAGCCACATCTCCCTCTCTTTTGCTGCCTCCCTTTTGAAGAATTACATTGGGCCCGCTGGCCTAAGCCAGGGTAACCTCCCTATTTTAAGGTCATCTGATCAGCAACCTTCATTCCCTTTTGTCCTAGAACCGAACATAGTCAGAGATTGAGGTATGATGACATAGACCCCTTGGGGGACGGGCATTATTCTGCCCACATTATCCTCTGGAGCAATCTAAGAAGTGCGGAGGCTTCTCTCATCAGTTTGCTAGCTGTGATGTTTCTTATCCAGATCCACAGTTATCCCGTCCATGTGGTCCTCTCGTTAGTCCTTATTGAGGCAGAGTACAAACTTCCCTTGACTGAGAGGCAGAAGACATTCTGCTTAAGACTCTGGCTGAAGCTGTTGCTCTTACAGCCTGCGATGATTGATTCAGTGACAATCACTGAGACTCCATCTTCTCAACAGAGAAGTGGAAATAACCAAACTTCCTGACAGGGATACTATACTATAAAGATGAAATGTGGAAAAGTGGTTATGAAAGCTCTACACACATCAAACTACACACAGTGTAAGGAATCATCATTACAACAGAGATCTCCAACACGAAGAATACCTTGCATTTGTACTGACAGTGGTTTTGATTGTTTTGCTCCTTGAAAGAAATTACATAAATTATCATTTGCATACTTTAGAAAAATTAAAAAATTGAAATTGACAATGTCCCCTATAGTCCAAATCCTGTATTACCAAATACCAGGTATTGTGCAGACAAACCAATGGTGAATATGAATTTGGCTTTTCTAGTTGAAGTTTCTTCATATATTTGTCCTCAAAAAACAACATTGGAAAATAGGTAATTGTTACCTTTATTTGATAATCTGAGAAACAATCACTGCAGTTATTTGTATATTTCCTTCTAGGCCCTATAAAGGGGGGTAGGTGGCCAATGTATCTCATTCACTTTTGTAATTATGGTGCCCAGAATCTTGCCTGGCAGAGATCCCTAATGAATATTTGTTAAATTAATGTATGAGCTAATATATTAATGATTAATTAGAGATGCACATGATGCTGATACATAATTATAATTCCCTCTTCACCTTCATTTTCCAGTCACTTGTTAATCCCACCCTGTGGTTCCTAACTAATATCAAGGGGAAACTGGCCTTTGCCTGACCTCTGGAAAGTAGTCCCTAAAATTCTCTCATTTTTTAAAGCAATTTCCTTAAATGGGGAACACCACGCTTTACTTTATGCTACCAGTTACCACTTACATGATCAAATATTTGTTTCTAAAGGTCCCCTAAGAAGGATACTACAGGGAAGATTGTGAACTTCTTATTCAAGCACAAGAAGTGAAGAGGTGCAACATGTTTAAGCAGGTCCTTCCCCTAATTTAGGTTTAACAATTGCTTCTGTGGGGCCATGGGAGAAATTCCTTGAGGCAGAGAAATGTGCTTTGTGGACAAAGATGTGATTCGGAATCCTGGGGTCTCTGGAGGACCTTGCCAGAAGGAGGGCTCATATCAGAGGGCTCAGTGACTAGCACACCATCAGACATGTTCCAATAAATCAAAGGCTTATACCAATCCCAGAACCTGCTTTTGTGGGATTAGGCTCAAGGTCTAATCAGTTTAAATCTCCACAGGGTAGATGAGTCACACATTGGAACAGACAGTGGGAGCTGGCCCTTGCTGATTCTACACTGCCTGATTTACCAAGTGGAAAGAAAGGCTTTTCTAAGCTAAGAGAATCTTTGATCAATGCACATTTGTGTACAATACTTGGGATGGGACAGTGGAGGGGGGGGGATAATAAGTTACTTTTTTCCCCCCTTGAAGCTGCAAGATTTATGAAAAAGAACCCTGCAAATAGCCCACTGCAAATAGAAAACACTACTCATTTGATGGAGAAGTTGAAGGAATAAGACATGTTTGCATTGGCTTTCACTTAAAATACTCTTCAATTTCAAAGACAAAGGGAAAGAGGTCTTGGCAATGTGAATTTTGCTAGCAACGAAAAATTCCAATTCAACAACCAATTCCACATTAGTCATTTTGTCACACTCACAGCACATATCTCTGAATGCACCCAAACCTAATAATGCAGAGGTAGCATTTAAAACTATTTCCACTTTAGGTACCCACTGATCACTGAGATTACCAGGGCAAGGAATATACTCTAGGGGTGAATGAATAGTTAGTCCATTTTTTTTTTTACCAACCTACCATAGATTCTGGTGCAGAAAAAAATAGTTTCACAGTAAAATATTAATTTAACTCTGTTAGAGAACTGTGTTGAAAAACTAATTCATTTTCATTAAATGTTGTCCTGAGTTATGTTTCAATTATCTACAGATTTATCTAGATTTTCTAAACTCGTGTATTTTCAACTAATCTAACCTCTTATTTATTGCAGCTTAAGAGCTAAATAGAACTCTTCTTACTAAATGATGAAATATGTTTCAGTCATCTAGATTTTTATTCAATCTTATTTATATTAATTCATACCTGTTCCTCCTAAATTTTCATCAAAATTCACTTTTGTCAAGATTGATCTTTCCTATAATTTTAATGAAGGCTCTAAAGTATATATATATATAGAGAGAGAGAGAAATATACATATATATATATATATATACACACACACACACACACAGACAATTTTGGGGCACAAATGACAACTTTTCCTAGCACAAGGTTACAGTTAATGAACTGGTTTTAAAAATAAATAGAAAGAATGGAGAGCAATATACTTTAAATTATAGTGGCATCTCTTGCCTCGTCTTTTAAATTTTTCTCTCCATAACTTGGGTTTTTGTCACAGAAATTAGGGTAATAAACCTCTCTATTAATTTATATTAAAAAATAATTTAGGAATTATGCTTTTATGAAGGACTTTGAACTCAAGATTTCACATGTTGAAAAGAAAATTTACACATGTATACGTTTCAATTACCTATAGATTTGCCTAAATTTTAAAAATTCATATGTATTTTCAACTACTATAACCTCTTATTTACTGCAGTATTAAGAGCTAAATAGAACTCTAATCAACAAAAAGTTTCATCATCTAGACTTTTCTTCTCTTATTTACACCAATTTAAATATGTGATTCCCCCAAATTTTCCTTAGCAAACTCAGGTAATAATTCAACACAAAGGAAAAAAAGACTTCCAGTTACCAGTTACAAAATTATAATCTGTAAATTGTCTTGTCTATTCATATATATTATGAATAGACAATATCTATTTGTGTCATATATGATCATTTCATATATACATGATCAAATATGATCTTTCGTTCAGGATGGAGCAGTGGTAATGACCTTACTTTGGCAGAGCCCGTGAATCTCCAGGAATACCTGCTCATCTAGGGTTTTCCACACCTTGCTCTGGTGTAAACATTTCCTTGATGGTGAGAACTACAATTTACCAACCTAAGGAAGTCTCACAGAGAAATATCAGCCCTCTCACATCTTCACCTTCAGGGAGGGCAGTTCCAAAGCTAATGTTATTTAAAGCTACGTCAACACTCCTAAAGCAACCAACCCATCAGAACCTAGAATTTCTTCAAAAGGCCCAGTCCAAAGACCTTCCTCATGCTCCATCTCAAAGTACAGGTGCAGTGAGATTCTCCTAAATCAAATCTGATTGTGATGTGCACCGTCTGGGGGATGGACACTCTTGAAGCTCTGACTTGGAGGGACAGGGGCAAGGGCAATATACATAACCTAAACATTTGTACTCCGATAATATTCTGAAATAAAAAAATAAATAAAACAGTAAAAAAAAGAAGAAGAAGAAAAGAAAGAGATGATGGTGAAGGCCCAGAAAGTCCCCACCTGAGTTACAAGAATAATTGTACCAGTGAAAATGTGACAGCCTCCATCTGTTGAATAACTTGTTGAAAACCAATCAACCAAAGACCACTGATTATTCTGAGGTTTTTTTTTTAAAGGAAAGGCCTTTTTTTAATTTTTGGAAACTTGACTTCTATTATTTAAGATGGCCCATTCCACAACAATGGTTCATAATTAAATCTATTTATTTAGACAGCCCATAGTTCCTGATAAAAGGCCATCTGCAACATTTTCAAATTAAGGATTTTTCCTATAATGAACGTTATTAACAACATGAAATACTGAGGCTTTGGAAGGGAAGTATAATCAAAGACCACAACATAAAATTCCATTATCACGGTGTCTGGTTTTGCCTCTGCCTTTTTAATTTAAAGAGAAAGAACTAGAAGCAAATGCAATAAGTAGTGAGGCATAAAGGAGGGGGAATGGAATTGCTGAGTTAGACTGCAAACATTTCAAAAGCAAAGATTATGCTTTTTTTCTCTTTATCTTATGTCTGCAAAACACAATGCATAATCTACAATGTGTCCTATTAACACAGGCTATCAGGATGAAGAAGGGAAAAAAGCAAACAAGCCTAACTCCCCTTTAGAATCACTCCCCTACCTCAGTTTCCCTCTACCTTACTTAGGTGCCCATTTCATGAGTTGTTTCTCCCCCACATAACATCCTCAGGCCTGTCCATTACCACTGCCAGGGTGTATGGGTTGCACAAAGGTACTCAGCTGGAGGGGGCATGTGAGACCCAAAACACAGCCCAGAGTTACCAAGAGAATCAGCACCCAGCTGGAAAGGCCTCTTTGATGGCTGTGTGCCCTGGTACAGGGCTGATCCATCCTAAGGGGCACCACTCTTTGTTTTGCATGAAACAATGACCTTATCCACTACTCATGTTTCCAAATTTTCACACTCACTCTCCCCACAAATGAGCAGACATGTTAAAATGGACTATTCTCAGAGTTTATTCTTAGATTAAATTTTCCAGATGTTGAAAACTAATGCTAGGATAGTCTGTATCTGAGTAAAGGCTTCTGTCTTCCTTTATGGAGTCAGGGAGGTAGAAAGGGCTAGGCTTCTGCCACTTGGGAAAAGACCCTGCTACATATTTCCCTCTGGATTCTTCCTTAATTTTCATATTGGAACCTCTTTTCATGAAGCTAGAAAGTAAGTCGGAGGCCAGGCGCGGTGGCTCACGCCTGTAATCCTAGCACTCTGGGAGGCCGAGGCGGGCGGATTGCTCGAGGTCAGGAGTTCGAAACCAGCCTGAGCAAGAGCGAGACCCCATCTCTACTATCAATAGAAAGAAATTAATTGGCCAACTAATATATATAGAAAAAATTAGCCGGGCATGGTGGCGCATGCCTATAGTCCCAGCTACTCGGGAGGCTGAGGCAGAAGGATTGCTTGAGCCCAGGAGTTTGAGGTTGCTGTGAGCTAGGCTGACGCCACGGCACTCACTCTAGCTTGGGCAACAAAGCGAGACTCTGTCTCAAAAAAAAAAAAAAGAAAGTAAGTCGGATCAGAGGCTACCCTATCCGAGGGTAGACCTGGTACCTGTCTCTCTGGTTCTGTATTTGACTCCTATTGAAGGTTGGGGATCTTTGCCTCCAGCCTGAGAAGACCCAGAGTGGTGCCCGTGCCAGCTCTGCCTGAGCAGGTAGATTCACATGTCCCTGGTCTTAGGTTTGCTCCTGCCACCCTGCTGCCAGGCTCAGCCTGAGAAAGCTTTTCCTCACCTTGAAAATGGGCATCTTCCAGAGCCAGATTCAGATGTGAGCCTCAAGGTGAGTGGGGGATAGTGTGGAAACAAAGAGGAATACCAGGTCATTCTGATCCTTAGCCCATTTTCTAGCCTAAACAGTTCTTCATGTGATCAGGTCTATTTTGTTAGGATCCCACATTTGCTACTAGTACTCATAGTATTTAAAAATGTACATTTCCCTTGCAAATTAAAATGGCAATGAGATATCACCTCGTACATGTTAGAATGGCTATTATCAAAAAGACAAAAGATAGCAAGTGTTAGCAAAAATGTGGAACACTTGCATACTGTTGGTGGGAATGCAAATTAGTAAAGCCATTATGGGAAACAATATGGAAATTCCTCAAAATATTAAAAATAGAACTACCATATGATCTAGCAATCCCACTCTTGGGCCTATATCCAAAGGAAATGAAAAAGAAATCAGTATGTCAAACGGATATTTACATTCCCATGTTCATTGCAGCATTAGTCATAATAGTCAAGATGTAGAACCAACCTAAGTGTCCATCAGTGGATGAATGGTAAAGAAAACATAGGAGCGGGGGGCTATATAAACACACACAAAGGAATCCTATATTCAGCCTTAAAAGAGAAGAAAATCCTGGCATTTGTGACAACATGGATGAACGTGGAGGACATAATGGTAAGTGAAATAAGCCAGGCACAGAAAAACAAATACTGCACCACATGATTTCACTTATATGTGGAATCTAAAAAAGTCAAACCCATAGAAGCAGAGAGAGGAATGGTGGTTTCAAGGAGCTGGAGCCAGGAGGATGCAGGTTTGGAAGATGGTGGTCAAAGGATACAAAACTTCACTTAGATAGAAGAAATAAGTTCAAGAGATCTACTGTACAACATGGTGACTATATTTAATGACAATATATCATATACTTGAAAATCACTGAAAGTATATTTTTAACCCCATCTTGTGTACTATTCTGCCTGAGCTGTCATGTTGGAAGACCATCAGCTAAAATAATCCCTTATAAAATAATTTAATCACACGGCACACTATAGGCGGTGACTAATCTAATCAATTTGAACAGAGTTTAAATCCTTGAATTGTAGCAAACCTAGGTATGCACATTTACAGCTAGTGATAGCACAGGGTCTACTGTAATGGACAGGATTGAGAAGGAATACCCCAGAAGACATAACCAGAACAGACAGTAAATCCCGGGGGCTCTGCTTTGGGAGTGGTAAATGTCATTCTTTTTTATTTTTTTAATTTTCCTTGGTTAAAGGCAATAAAAAATTATCCAAGAGAATTAGCCCTTGGATAGAATCTACCTGAGCAGGTAGATTCACATGTCCCTGGTCTTAGGGTTGCTCCTGCCACCCTGCTGCCAGGCTCAGCCTGGGAAAGCTTTTCCTCACCTTGAAAATGGGCATCTTCCAGAACCAGGTTTAGATGTGGGCCTCAAGGTGAGTGGGGGATAGTGTGGAAACAAAGAGGAATACCAGGTCATTCTGATCCTTATCCCATTTGAGAGGCCCTCCTATTTGTGGATTGATTTGCAAATGCCAGAGGTATCTTGCCATCATTGAGGAAGCTGCCCCAGCTGTTTTGATAGCTTTTTCCAATCACACACACTCAACACATCAGCTAAATCAAGTCATGGAAAGTGGTCAGAGTTGCAGTGATGGTGGTGAAAGTGGCTGCCACATTTATGGGCCTGCTACTGGTTGGATAGACCATTCCACCTTGGCCTGGTCACTTCATTTCCAGATGTAGGTTGACGTTACTGTACATTATCTGAGTGACTGGTGTTTTCCATCAAGATCAGGAGTACCAATTTGATGGTGAGTACATGTGGCACACATATAGTAGTAACATTCATCCATTCATCGGGTGTCAGGCAGGTGGAAGGGGAAGGGGGGGATGGGTATATTCACACCTAATGGGTGAAGTGTGCACCGTCTGAGGGATGGACACACTTGAAGCTCTGACTCAGGTGAGGCAACGGCAATATATGTAACCTAAACATTTGTACCCCCATAATATGCTAAAATAAAATAATAGCAATAATAATAATAAAAAGATCAGAAGCAGCCCAGCTCAGGGGACTGACCCTTGTCTGAGTTCCGAGAAAGTCACTATGCCACAGAGCTAGCTGTTGAAGGGAACTTCGAAGTCCCTTGGCCCAGCATGCCTGTGCCCTAGAGCAGGAACTCCCTCCATGACACCCATCGCATTACGTCAAATGACCTCCACTTGAACGCTTCTTCCAAAAGCAGCCCTTTCACTTTCACGGAACCAGCTTTTCCTCTATTGGCCTACATTAGGAATTAGAGTAAGAGTAGCTCCCATTTATTAAACACTTATTATGGGCTTTCCATATATTAATTTATTTAATTCTGACACCAACCCTATGAGATAGGGATTATCCCTGCCCTTTTCCAAGTGAAGACTAGACCCACACAGTGAAGAAACTTTCCCAAAGTCACACACCTGAACAAGATTTGCACCCAGGTCTGCTTGACTCCAGCACCCTGTTTGTAATCACTAAATTCTACTTCTCCTTGTTGAAGCATCCATCTGTGTCCAAATTACAATGAGGCACACATTCCAAAATGTGGGGCCTGGAAATTCTATAATTTGATTATTTATACTGACGAAGGAGGAAAAGTCTAGTTTTACGCAACATTTAAGCCTCATTTAAAAAATTAAAAAATTGCTTTCTATTTCCTTCCATCTGATCCATTCTAGGTTTATTTCATAGTTGTACTCTCAGAAGGTGGGTCCACTGCTCTATTTCCAAGTTCTTGGGTGGGGAGAATGAGAGATTGAGGGATGGGGTGGGGAGTCAGTGCAATGGTACCTCTGAATATTGCTTACAGAAACTTCACAAAAGCTATAAAGTAAAATAACTTTGAATGTTATCTTTATCTTTTTTTCTCCTACTTGAAATATAAACTATTAATGAATGGCTTAAAAAAAAAAAGAAGATGTCAGCAAGAAGGAAAATTAAAGGCTCCAAAGAATGCCTTTGGATAAAAGGAGTTGATTGTGTATGATTCAATTATGGCCTTTTAACATCTGAACCCCT